CGTAATTATGTTTTAACAAAAATAATGAATATTTGTATTAATCAAATAAATTTGTTTTGAAATATTCATATATTATATGAATTATAAGGATATCATAATTGATGTTTATGTATACTCCGGAGTTGTTGTAGTCGAAAGTCGAAATATAAGTATATATAGTAACAGTATACTAATTATATACCAATGCTCTTCCTCCAAGTTGCTGCGTTCAGCTATGAATGTAAAGAGCAATTTAAATTGAACAAATTAGTTTAATATAATATCTAGTAAAAAAAATACGAGGGTTACTTTGAAAAAAAAAAAGCAATTTAGCAAAATTAAAAATATTCAATTTGAATTAATATAGTTTATGTTAGGCACAATACTTTAGACAATTATTTTTATATATATTATGAATTTCCGAACATAATGTAATGTTGGCTATTATATAATTTAGAATGTGATTGTTTCAAACTTTTCAAACAGCCCTCGTTAATGGATTTCATAACTTACACCGCCCGCGCACATCAATGCCACCCAAACTTGGAGCCGCAATAACTGCTGCCCACCGCCAATTTCTTTAAGAAAATCAGGCACCTCTTGTCCAGAGCCCTCCAAGATTTTGATCAAATCGCCCGCAATGGCACGATCCTGTTCGGGATCAAAGAAGGATGTGGCACGTCCACTATTGCCCACAACGCCCAGTGCGTCCAATGCGATGCACATAATCATCAATATTTGTGGCATATCATAGTTAATCACATGCTTTACATTTTTAATGTCTTTAAAATGAAGAAAGAAATAGAATTAATGTATACAACTATAGATAAATAATTAAAGGGACTAACCAAGACCACGTGATGCTACAGATGTAGCAATTAGCACCTTCATAATGCCACTCTTGAAGTCGCGCAACGCCTGCTCGCGCTGACTCTGCAAGCGATCGCCATGTATGGAAGTGGTTGGAAATTCGGTTTCCGAGAAAAACGAAGCCAGAAAGTCAAGCCGCACGTTTTTGTCTCCACAAAGACAATGGTGCCATCAGCGCCTTCGCGTAAAATTTCCTAAAATATAAATATATATACATATATATTAGCTTTATTTGATAAAGCTCTGAGCAGCAATCTTCCGGTCTCACCATCAACTTGGACGTTTGTTGAACTTGTTAACCTCATAGATGGTCTGCTGCACATCGGAGCAGGCGCCACCAACGACTCCAATTGTCACAAATATATAATTTCGTAAAAATTCACCAGCCATACGCTGTATCTCCTCCGGAAAGGTAGCTGAGAACATTAGCGTCTGATGGTCAGGACGCATTGTCTGATGGTGCATTATTTTGCGCATGCTATCCGAGAAGCCCATGTCCAGCATACGATCGGCTTCGTCGAGCACCACAAATCGCGTATCATCAAACGTGATAAAGGTGCGATCCACAAAGTCTAAAAGGCGACCTGGCGTCGCAATCAGTACATGGCAGCCCTTCGTAATACCTTCATTTTGGTACTTAAATGAAGTACCGCCATAGACGATGGTAATCTTTAGATAGGTTTTAAATGAAAACTTTCTAGCCTCATTGAAGGTCTGGATAGCCAGTTCACGTGTTGGCGACACAATCACCGCCTGCGGCTTGCCAATCTCCAGATCATGGCTCTCATCCAAAATGTTACTCAAGATGGGCAAGAGAAACGCAGCCGTTTTACCGGAACCTGTTTGAGCACAAGCCATCAAATCGCGTCCTTCGGCTATTAATGGTAACGAAACCTTTTGAATGGGCGTCGGCACCACATAGCCCGATTTGATGACATTGTCCAGAACACTGCCACGCAAACGGGCTTGGTCAAAGCTCTTAATAGGCGGCGGCACATTTTCACCAGTCACCTGGAAATATTGGGGATAGCTTAGTGATCCGAAAGTAACAGTAAAAAATTCTATATACCTTAACTGGTATATTATCATATTTGGCAAAGTTAATGCCCGATGAGATGCCGGTGCTAAAGACTTCAGTCTCATCGTTGGTCGGCTCGGGTGGTATATAGAACTCTCGGGCCTTCTGCTTCTCCCCATCCTCGCCAACATCGTCGTGATTGTTATTCATATCGCCATCGTCGCGTCGACGACGCTCGGCACCACCGCGCTCCCTTTGGGAAGCCGCCGCCACCGCCACCGCCTCCGCCACGACGATCATCGCACACTAAATTTAAATTTGAGAAATAAATTGATTTACTAAATAATGCAAAGAAATAAGTGCAACATGGATAAACACACAAACAAATAAGTATTTTTAACATCATTTTCGGTACTTAATTTAATTTATTATTTAATTAATTTATATCATTTAAATAAGTAAAATATTTATTTTCACTTAGATCTAAATTGTGAACTGAAAATTTGAATCCATTAATAAAACTATGTATTTATAGTTAATATAATTAATAATAATAAAAAATAAATATATAATTTTTATAGCTCATTAAAATAAGAATAAAAGTCAAAATAAAATGTCTCAAATAACAATTATTTCTGTTTACTAATAGATTAAAATATTTATGAACAATTTTTAAACTGAAATTAATCTTTAATATAAAATGAATAAGGAATCGATTAATATATTGAAATATAAATTAAAAATAAACTTTTAAAATCATAGAAATCATCTGAAAATGCTTCATTACTTAATTTTAGACACTTTTTTAAATATTTTGTTTAAGATTCTTAAAATAAATTGAACATAAAATCGTTTCCCAGCATATCTCCTAATATAGCCTATTCAAGGCATTGTCTTAAAGATAATATATATTATATAATACAAAATATTTTGTATTAAAAAAAATATGAATTTTCCATTTACGTTTTCACGCCTTTGTCAAGTAAAAAGCTTTAAGTTAAGGTATATAAAATTATTTCTGTTAAAATTCATTTCAGATAAGATTATTTATCTTATCTCGCTATGACAGCATTGCATAACGTGCCATAGCATCGAGACTAATTATATTTGCTGCCTTCAGCTCGAAGAGCAGACGATATCCAATGGCAGCTTCCATGCGAGATTCGAAGAAGCCCTTGGCACGCATGTCCACACGATTGTTCCGGACTAAAGCTCCGATAGCTTATGCATCACACTACGCTTCACCTCAGACATATTCAGTATAATCTTTGGATCGTAAGTGTACATAGCTGGCATGGAGACGTAGCGCACGGCATCGCTGTCATCGCTACCGCCCGTCAATGGACAGCTGGTGGCGAGTGAAGATCGATGATTCCTTTGCTGATCCTCCTTCTGTTGTTTGTCACTCAAGTGTATATTATGGTCGACCATGAGACGCAACAGATGTTTGTGTTCCACTATGAAGCTAAGACTTTCGCGTAACTCTCGTTCGACACGCTCCAAGCGGGTTTCTTCCGCCGCTCTTAACGGTTTATCGGATATACTTAGTATTGTTACAGGAGTTCCATTTAGATCAGTTACCGATTGGCCTGCATTAAGATTCGCACTGGCCGGCTGTTGGATAATCTGTATGGATGTCACCAACGGAATTTCGGGCAGCTCATCCATGCTATAGGGCAATTGCAGGGTTTCTTGCGATCTGTCGCACGGTTCAGGTAAAGGTAATGCAAGTGTTGATCCTTCAGGCAATACATCTGTATCCATTGATGCAGATGGTGCCGCTGTAACCTCTACAACTGTTGTTCTGTCCATGCTCACGGCCAATGTCAACAGCTCGCTAGCTCCTGCTGCGTCTGTCTGGCTGGGGAGCAACTCTCTACCTTCTGCAACGGGCATCTCATTGGCAACTGCTGGTTCAATTGAAGCTTGTGCTGCTATTGCTGGTGACTCTATCTGTCCAACCGGCTCCTCTACTTCTGACCATATTTGCTGGAAGAGATTGGACAAATAGTCAAGCATAACTTCATCGTTGCTAGGCGGCTGCACAGTCTCAATTTGCTCCAATTCATTTTGGGCAGCTGCTGCTGTTGCTTCTGGATGCCTGCGTTTGCGTTTGCGCCTGCGTACGGCTATTGGTGATGAGAAAAGCTGCTCATATCCAACTCCATGTGTATAATTCGGAATAGCAGTACGTGGCCTAAATATCGACGTCCAATCCCGCGGCATAGTTGGAATAGCTGACCCAGCAGGCGTTATTGAAGCAACTACATCAACTGTAGTTATAGCTGTAGTTTCAATTACAATAGATCCGGCTGTTTTCTCTGTTGCCGATTCTTCGTTCAGCTCAAGGACTCGTGGCATTGTCGAGGGTCTCATTTGCTGATGTGGCTCCTCGTCGATGGCCGGCAACAATGTCCGATAAGGCGTCGATGCAAATGCATGACGCGAGCGTGATACAATCGATGCCGAGACATTAGACTCCACAAAAGATGAAGCAGCAGCAGCGGCAGCAGTAATAGAAGTAATGGCTCTCACTGGCAATATGCTGCAATTATCCCCATCTATGGGTGTCACAGGTGGCATCGGTGGCGGGCACAAGGCATAGATATCTTCAGCCGACAAATTAGCTGCCTGATTGCCGCCACTTGTTAATTGCACGGCGGAAAGGCTGTGAATACCAATACCAATTGAATTGTGAATACCAAAAGAAGCTCAAGATTCAACAATAAAAGCAGCAATTGACCAAAGAAATATTGTGTTCAAAAATGATTTAGAAATTCCTTTAATATTTTATTTTCATACTAGTATCAATGTCGAATCGGTGGCCGGGCAATATAGCCTATGAACTATTAGTTCGAACGGCAACTAAGATCTTTAGCATTGTCAATCTTCTACTTCTATAAACTTAGTTGGTTAATTGATGAATTTATAAATTCCATTTTACAATAAGTATTTCAATGAATTTCAAAACTGATTACAAAATGCAGATTAATTTTTGAACACAATATAGAGGACGATGTCGAGCAAAGATAAGTCAATGCGAAGGCGAATGGGAAAACTGAATGATATATGTATAAGGAAACACTTGAGCCGAAGCAAAGCCTGTTAAATATCAGTTGAGTTCTTTACAGTTACGAACATAAATAAGCAAACATATACAGACACAACACACAGAGACACACACTTTTCAATCATTTGCAAGTTTTGTTACACATGTTTCGAGTGAATGTCAAAATTGTTTGTATACAAAATAGATAGATATATATATAGTTCGTTCGTGTATATAGATAGGACAGACGACTTTCAGCACAAAGGAAAGGAATAACCAACCACATCATTAGGCTAATGCGGCGGCGAAGCAGTTAAGCGGAAGGTAAGTGCAAAGAGAGGCAGAGGGTCGGAGATAAAGTAGAAAACGAGATAGATAAGAGTGACAGGGAGTGGAGAGGTAGAGATAGAGATAGAGAGACAAGGGGAGGGAGATATATAGAAGGAAAGAAACAGTGGGAGAGAGAGAGATAGAAAACCAGATGGAATGGGATAGATATAGAAATCAAAGCTAGATATAGAGAAAAAGACAAAACAAATGAGAGAGAGAGTGAGTGAAAGAGAGAAAAAATGAGTGAAAGCGAAAAATTAGTAAAAGAGCGAAAAATGAGTGAAAGAGGAAACGAGTGACACAGCGGGAACCAATCATTTAGAAACTTAAAGTAAGATTTAAATATGTAGATACATGAAAGGGGAGGAGATACATTTTGAAACAGATAAAAGTATATACCCATCATTCGAGATCGATGCCGCATTGCTACTGATCATTGGCGCTGCATTGCGTCCACTATCTTGCACACCAACTAATGGCAATAGGCCACCGTGACTGGGCGTATTCTGACTTCGAGATTGTACATCTTGACGTGGCAGGGCTGGCTCCAGATCCAGCTGCTCCTGCTCCTGCCTCGATTCGCTTGGACGATGCACAAACCACATGTTCAGCGCTAACTGTGGTTGTCTGTTGGCCAACCAAATCCTTTCGTCTATGACCGACGGCCAGGGCAGTGGCTCGTGCAGTTCGCTTGGATCAGAAAAATGTAGCTTACGCATTTCTCGCAAAGTCATGAAGTTCTCAGATAGCCAACGCGTTGGCCCATGTTGTTCTATTCGTTCAGTTGGCGTTTCGATGGCTAATTCCTCATCTATCGGCTCTATCATGCCATCATTTAGCTCATAGCTACGTGCCGCATTTTTAAACAAATCTCTGATGCGTTGTGTGGCGTTTTCTTGATTGTGTTCTACATTTCGATCTAGCAAGGCTCTTCTGCCAGATGTTGAGAATCTAGCTCTAGTTACAACTTTTCGCCTTTCTCCTGGCACCACAATTGCATCGTCGTCCAGCTGCAACTGCTGCTGCGCTTGCAGCTGTTGACCTGATTGCCAAAGATTAAGTTCCGAACGATGCAGCTGCTGCAGTTCATCTTTAGATTGGGTTAGGAATTCATCTATGTCTGGGATAATCTCATCGAGATTAACAGCAGCAGCGCAGAAACTTTTCAATTCTTCCATGCGTTGTTTACGCTCCGTTTCCTCGGCATTTTTCCATTCCTGCTCAACAAGTACACTGAAAGCTTTACTCAAATAGTTGCGCTTTTCACGTAACTCAACGAGCGACTGATTGGATTCCTTAAGATTAAGATTGTTTAAATATGCAGCTATCGTTTCCTTATCATAACTTTTTGGCCGATTCACGTTGGAGAACATCAAATCCGCTACGCGTTACAAACCATTGAGAGGCGATACAAGAACAAACGACACAGACGTATAGTTGGACATACATATATTTACGATACATGAGAATCTTACTAAATAGCGTTATAGAAAGCTATAGCTACATTCACTCACCATCCTCGTTATCATTACGACGTCCACGATATCCGTTTCCTCGATAGCCTGCTGCTCCTCCTCCATCGTTGTTATCCATACGTCTTTGATAGCCTCCACCTAATACGGCATCTTCTCGACGCCCACGGTAGCCTCCTCCTCCTCCTTCGCCATCATTTCGACGTCCACGATAGCCTCCTCCTCCCGCTCCTTGGCCATCATTTCGACGTCCACGATATCCGCCTCCTGTTCCAACATCACCGTTATTGCAACGCCCGCGATAGTTATTGCCATCTCCTGCACCTTGACGATTCTCACTCGGTTTGTCTTCATCGCTCCATTCCGATACATTCTTTGGATTCGATGTTACCTCTTCACTATCCCAATTCTCATTATCGTGTAATTTGTGAATATGATTGTTGCGCTCAGGCAGAGCAGGCTAATTGAAATTTAAAAAAGGATTTTCTATGGATTTATTACATATTACATGCATGCAATTATCTCACCTCATCTTCCCAGTCAGACATGTTCGCACTTTATCGTTAACTAAGCTGAAAAATAGAACTAATTAATATTCAATAAACCCGGTTCGTGCATATATATAAAGGCGCAACGTAATTTTTAATTTCCCGCCACACAAATGTGCGCATTAAGCAGAGCAGCATTTTATTGCGTTTTTACCATTCGCCGACGCAAAAATGAGCGCATGTTAAGTGTGGCAGCGCACTCGCATCTGTTAGGTGAAAAACGTGAGTTGCTCTGTTCTGTGTATGTATACACAGACAGCATGCTGCTTGCGCTTTTTCGCCTTGCCTTCTGGTAGTGTAGAACACATGTGTGCTTGAGTATATATGTGTATATGTTCGCGCTTGTGTGTAGCAGCCAAAGCAGAAACGCAGAAAATTAAGGTTAGAGCGCAGCCAGGCAACCACACACCACACGACGACGAAAAGAAAAAATAGCAAAAAGCAAGACTAAAAAAACGAATTTCTTCTATTCTCAAACACACACACGCACACATTAACAAACAAATACTCACACACACAATATATATACATACATTTACATTTATAGGCGCAGCAGCAGCGACCAAACACACACGAGTTTTTTCTGACAGAAAACTCTGAAATTCTGTGTGTGATTTTTGCATAAAAATCAGTTGTGTGTGGAAAAATCAATTGGAAGATTATATTGCAATTACAACAAGCAGCAGCCCAACAACAACATGGATAGCGCCGGTAAAAATCGTTATGAACTTTTGTTCATGGACGACGATGTTAGCGATCCATTAGATAATCTTGTCGCGGCCAAGAAGAAGCAGCAGCAGCCAGCAACTGGCGGCTCGGCAGCAGCGCCCAACACAAAAACGGCGCCAACGACCAAAGTAGCTAAGCCAGCGGGCACAGCAGCCGCCAACAAAAAGCCAAATCAAGCCGAAAAGGAAAACAAACCAGGTGCACTCAACAAAAATGATGGCAAGAAAACTGCACAGGGCAGCAACGGCAACAACAATGACAAACTAAACAACAAGCAAGGTGGGGCTGGGTCTGCGGTCGCTGCGCGCAAAACACGTGAAACTGGTCAAGGGCAGCAACAGCAACAACATCAGCAGCAGCGCAATGTCAATTTTCGTCAACAGAATGGTGGAGGAGGTGGTGGTGGCGCCGGAGGTGAGGTAACGCGCGAGCAGCGCAACAATCGCCGCAACGTGCGCGAAAATGGCGCTCCAGGTGGCAACTCTGGCAATTCGACTGGTGCTGATGGCAATCCTCGACCATATCGCAGCACCGGCGGCTTTGGTGGCGATCGTCCACAACGCCAGAATCGCAACTTCGAGGGCAACAATCGCAAACGTGAATTTGATCGTCAATCTGGCTCCGACAAAACTGGTGAGCCATATGCATACACATTATATACATCTATATATTTATACAAGCACATATATAATTACATTCTATTTCTATTTCTATATATATATGTAGATATATATATATACATACGTACATACACATATATATATAAATATATATATATATATATATATATATATATTCTAATTCCTAACCCCAAAAGGTTCATTTACAACCTTTACGAATTATGTTCGAACGCATTTCTTGATTTACTCATTCACATTTCATATCTTAAAACTGTGTTGCGCACATTTCTTTAGCCTCACAACATGCTGTATAGAATATGTATATGTTTAAAAATAGTTTGATTCTTCTACGGGCCTCCCCACACCCCTCAAAGCCCCCCATCGTATATGACTATCCCACACAAGTTTTCCACGCCATGGAACATTTCTTAGAAGGGGGGCGAAGTGCACACACACGGCAGTGGGGCGGGGGATTGCTACCTCTGAAAGATGTTATATTTGTAGGATTGCTCTAAAACTACAGAAACTTTTATTTTATATGCATTTAATATGGAATTTCTCATTCGTAAAGCAACATTCCCGAAAAAAAAAACGAATTCTAATACTCGTTATATGGAGGTCAAAATTATTTCAGGCCACAAGTTTCTTATCAAAGATTTTCCATTACAATCTAGAATTTGATAAGATTCATTTTTACGTTTACCAAGTCGAATTTGTTGATGTAAAAGAAATTATATATTATATTATTAAATACAATTAATTAATATTTTAATAAATAACGAAACAGGTGTGAAGGCAATTGATAAACGCGATGGAGCTGGCGCTCACAATTGGGGTTCGGTTAAGGAAGCCATCGATGATGTGAACAAGAGCAACGAAGGCGGCAACAACAATGAGACAAATGCTAACAACAACAATGCCGAAGGCAAGGCCGATGAATCTGGTAATGAGCAATCGAATGAACAACAAACACCGCCAGAGGAAGAGACCAAAGAGCTGACCCTAGACGAATGGAAGGCCCAACAGCAGCAGCGCATTAAGCCCAAGTTCAACATACGCAAAGCCGGCGAAGGTGGGTTGAATATAGATGTAGATATGGATATATATATATATATACATATATATAAAGGCTAAGATTTTTTAAGGCTAGAGTGATTAATGTATAAACTTTTCATGTTCTAACAATCGATGGTTTTTGATTCTGAAGTATATGTAGTTCATATCTGAAGAAATTTCACTTCATCTTATATCATAGTTACAAGTTTTAGCAATTTAAATAGAGTACATATACATATAAAGAACAAATCAGTTAAGTACGATTAATCATCGTCTGTTATAGCCATTCAAGGTTTCCAAAACTCGTTATATATAACTATATATTATCTATTACTAGAAATTTTATGTAATATATAGGAACTATGTAATATATCTGTTCCCATCTTATAGCCCACACATTGCTCTCCATTCAAAATGTTCTCATATTTTATCATTTTTCCAGGTGAGGATACGTCGCAATGGAAGAAAATGATTGTGCTGAACAATAACAAAAAGAAGGAGAACGAAAGTGAAGAGGAACTTGAATACGATCCTGCCATGTATCCGCAACGCGTCGGCCGCCAGCAGCGCGTCCTTGACATTCAGTTCAATTTCAATGACGGTCGTCGCGGCGGCGGTGCCAGCAACTTCAATGGGCGCGGTCGTAACGGTCCACGCGGTGGAGGACCACGCAACGAGGGCAATCGCGGACCGCAGCAGAACGGACCACAAGGCGCCGGCAATGCCGATGGCGGCAATGCGGGCGGCGGTGGCAATGGTCCATCTGCTCGTTCAGAGGGCGGCAATCGGCCGCCCATTGAGCGTCGCGGCTTGGGCGGCGGCATTGGTGGTGGACATGCTGGCAAGCGTTTTGGCAACGACAGGCAACAGAATGCTGCACCCAAGGTCAACGATGAGCGCCAGTTCCCAACGCTCGCCTAAGCTGAATTTGAAGATTAAATGTTGAAAAGGAGAGCCGAAGGACGAGGAGGAGCTGAGGTGGGAGGCGCTAGCTACAGGCGCCGGGGCGTGCATTCAATTTTTAAGAGTTGGTGTCTGCATATTAAGAGCAGGAACAGATAACCAATATATATATATCACACACTCACACTCACATTCACTCACACACATACACAATCATAAGAACTGTAAGCAAGAGTTAAAAAAATTTTCATTTTAGGCGGCCGCAGCGCAGCCAAAGCCAAAAGCCACAAAAACAAACAAATTAAATAAAGAAAACAAAAACACAATATTTGGGAAAACAATAAATGCAAATGAGAGAAATTATAAATATTATATACTTATATATATTTATATACATATATATATATATACTTATATATATATATACTTATATATATATATATATATATACATATATATATACTATTAAAATGTATGAGAAAAAAAAAACAAAAACCAAACTGTAAATCTTAAGCAAAAGCAATTTAGAGAGCAAAAACTAAAGAGCAAAGTTTCTATTACTATGACACGTATTGTAAATTTGTTGTTTTTATTTCAATTTCTTACTTTCTTTACTATTTTTGCACAATTTAAATTTCAAAATTTATATCACAAAAACAGTTCGCTTTCCAGTGACAAAATGAGAAAATCGAGAAAGTTTGGAAAAGAAAACATCACGAACTAAGCCTTTCTCATCTATGGAGGCAATTTTTCATGCAAAACAAAAACACTTACATATACATTTAATTTTGTTAAAAATAAAAACATTTTTATATGCATACGGCCTCATATAAAAATGCATTTTCTTTTTTTAATTTTTACTATGTTAAATTGTATTTTAAAAATTAATAAATGAACAAAAACAAAAACGAAAAAAAAAAAACGCAAAATTTGTAGTCCAGAAAAATAGAAGCGAAAAACTTAACAAAAACAAAAAGAAATGTGTTAAAAACTTGTAATTGTGTTTCTTAAAAAACAAAAAAAAAATTAAAATACTACTATATATATACTAATATATATATTTATATATATACGTATACCGCTATGATGCATGGTTTATTATATTAATTATAAATCAAATTAATGTGCATCATATATACTAAATTTAATCAAAGCACCCACACACTCTGACAAACAATTTAAATTTAAGCATTAAAAAAATTTATATTAATTATTGGAGCAAGTATATAAAAAAAAACCTTACTAAGTAGAGCTACACACACACAGATACACACATGCGACTAATGATAAAATCAGTTGAGATAAAATCGCTTACAAGGAAAAACAAGATTAAGAAAATAAAAACAAAAAATTACAACACAGAAAAGAACAAAAATAAAATAAACGGAAAAAATAAAATCCTGTAAAACCTGTAAAATTTTATGCTTTTACAATTAGAAATTGTATAAAAATATCTCTTAAATATATATATATATATATATATATATATATATATATATATATATATATATATATATATATATATATTCAAAGAAGTTGATAATGAACAATACTTGAATGAAATGGCAACAACAATTTTACGACTAAAACCACAAATCCAAAAGAAAATGAAAAATAAAGGAAAACAAAAAATACAAAATACATTTTTTGACTAATATTGTATTGTATTTTGAGCCCAAAGAGCAAATGAAAAACAAACCCAATTCAACAAAAAGTTGAAAAAACTCGTTTAAAACCAAGAAAGAAAAAAATTATTTGATAAAAATAAAGAAAAAAAAACAAATACTTTTCAAATTGTATTGAATTTTTAGAATTGTGAATAGCGATTTCAAATTCAATTTCACGAAATGGCTGAAAATGTGTGTAATCGGTAAAAGGAGGCATCGCAGACCACATTAAATATATATGTTCTTAACCAGAACGAAGAATGTCAGGGTTGAGGGCATTGTTTATTTTTGAACTTTAAAAGGCTCAAAGGGTTATATGAAGAGCTGGACTTTAAATAGGAAACTTAAAAGGATATTACCACTCAACACTCATAGATAAGAGTTTGGCTCGAAATCACATGGGATGATTTTCTCAGCGTTATCTTTCCAGATGAATATACATTTCTGAAATGGAACAGTAGATCATTTTGGCATACTTTAAGTATTGATTAGAATGGGATACAAACATTTTAGAACAATACTAAAAAAATATAGATAATACTGAACGCTAACTTTTTCAATTCAAATTTCAACGACATTAAAATTATTAATTTTGCTTTTAAGGTTATGATTATTTATTCGCACAAGTGCCGTTATAAATCAAGCAATGTCAAAGAGTAAATAAACTTTTTCACTGCTCTCTTTGTGCACGGTGTTCACTTCACATTGCGCGCGTGTTTTATGAACGAAACTTTGCTCAGTACTTCAACAAGCGCATTTCGGCAGGCAGTACTCTTTGTGAATTTCTCTTTGGTTAAAACTAATAGGAATCAAAGCAAAATCATACACAAAAAACTAAGAGAAAATATGAAATCCTGTAGGGCGAATGGAATAACCTCCTATGAAAGATAAAAACTCAAACAGAAAAATGAAAATTAAGGCCCCGAAATGTACTAATCCTGCAAACTAAACAAAAAAGAACATACAAAGTTCATATATTATTATTAGTTATGTGAATATATCTATCTTGCCTGTTAGCTCCGTTTTGTTTAATTGTAATAATTGTAGTTATAACTCACCTTTGAATTTCTATGGATTTGTATTTGCTAAAGCCAAACTTTTCACACTACGCGCCGTTAACGTCCAAGCAGGATGACTGAAAAATTACAATGAAAGCGTTAGACAGAGATACGAAACAGCAGATCAGAGAGAACCCTAAAGCCGACATTTTAGAATCTGCCGTTGACTTCGATTTCAGTGTTGTCAACAGCTGTTGTGTTGTGCGAAATTTTAAAAACGTCAAATAACAATAACTCGCGCGACGATTGTTGGCAACTCTAAAATATAACGGCGAAAGAGATGCAAGACACGAGAATTGAGAATTGAAAAAAGTGAAATGAAAAAACTTTCAGGTACTCCATTGTGAAATGCGTTAAAAGATATACACTCGCATACATATACACCTTTTTACATAAATACATTCATTTATATTTGCAAGTTATTTCAGCAATTAAAATAACTCTTACACATAGCAGCTTTAAGAAAACATACTATTGAGTTGTTTGTACACTTTTACCAAACTCAAAGTACTCACCACTTGTTTTGTACACAACTGCTTTATTTAAAACACACGCGAATAATTATTTAATAATTTTTAGCGCGTCACTTCGAAACGTTAACGCTGCTAAATAGCTTTTGACACTTAACGGAGTATGACAATGTGACCGTTGCACCGTCAATATAAAACATCCATTGTTTTGTCCAAATTAACATGCCATTAACATCAACTCAAAATGGCACTCTTACGTGTTAAGCATATGCAGCGGCGGTGTTGGAACTAGTTCCAAATAGAATAACTCTAAAGAATACATAAAAGAAAAATTAGTAAACAACATTTTATTGGAGGGAAATAATGTAATAGACCAATTACAACTAATTAAAATAAGGAAACACGTTAAAAAACAATAGCTAAAACTAATTAAATATCAATTAACATAACCTCTGTTCTGTCAAACACTCTAATTTAACTAGATTTCAAACCTGTCAAATATGAGCGTCGAGGACGAAGTGTTTCGGATTCAAAAGAAAATTGGCAAAATTTCAACAGCCAGCGATGGAGCCGTGAGTAAATGCATTTAAATAATACTTGGGCAATACAATTCGTTGTGGTTTGACTTGCTAGATGTGAATGTATTGTCATTGGTTAATTCTGCAGGGCCAGGACCAGGCGCTCGACTTGCTCAAGGCGTTGCAAACTCTAAACATTAATTTGGAAATTTTGACCAAGACGCGAATTGGGATGACGGTGAATGAACTGCGCAAGAGCAGCAAGGATGACGAGGTGATTGCCTTGGCGAAGACTTTAATTAAAAATTGGAAACGCTTCCTGGCCAGTCCGGCGCCAGCAGCTGCCACCGCCAACGCCAACACCACGCCCAAAGAGGCAACCGGCAATAAGGAGGGCAGCAATAGTTCAACAAAATCAACATCGAGCACCAGCAAATCGAATTCGAGTGGCAAAGAGAAGTCCAGCAGCAGTTCGACCAAGGATAAACGCGACGAAAAGAAGCCAACATCGGCGCAAACATCATTTCCAGCTGGCGGCATGACCGATGCAGTTCGTCTCAAATGCCGTGAAATGTTAACGAATGCCTTGAAACTGGGCGAAGTTCCCGAGGGTTGTGCCGAGCCCGAGGAGATGGCTGCCGAATTGGAGGATGCCATCTACTTGGAGTTTAAGAATACGGATATGAAGTACAAGAATCGCATACGATCGAGAGTGGCGAATTTGAAAGATCCGAAAAATCCGGGTTTGCGTGGTAATTTCATGTGCGGCGCCGTCTCCGCCAAGCAATTGGCCAAAATGACGCCCGAGGAAATGGCCAGCGACGAGATGAAGAAGCTGCGCGAAAAGTTCGTCAAAGAGGCGATCAACGATGCCCAATTGGCCACCGTCCAAGGCACCAAAACGGATCTGCTAAAGTGCGGCAAATGCAAAAAGCGTAATTGCACCTACAATCAGCTGCAGACGCGATCCGCCGACGAGCCGATGACCACGTTTGTCATGTGCAACGAGTGCGGCAATCGTTGGAAATTCTGCTAAATCCCATTTAACGTCCCTTTTTTATAATTCACCCAGCTCCCCTCCTCCCCCGCACTCCAGCTCCTTACAATTAATACAGAGCTATTCGCATGTAAAATTTGAATGCAGTCACTGATCACCTAAAGAACTAAAAACAATTCAATAATAATAAAAAAACAATTTAATACATATTAATATGTATATGTATATCTATGAAAGTACATAATTGTGTTGTTTCTTGTTTATCAGTTTTTGCCCGCTTTTAACTTCAGGTACAGTATGCACGGCAGCCAGTGTTGCCACTTCTCTTGTTTCTGGCAGGCTTTTCGTGCGTTTCACACTTGCTAAAGCTTGGGTAAAAACCAAAAATGTGTTGATAAATATTTATGGAATAATAATTTATTTAATATATTCACATTAATAATAAATAAACATTAAATAACAATAATAATAATTGAACTACTCTACGCTTTGTACACTTTTTACGTAACTTGTTACGTAATTATTAGATCTATTTTGATGCATTTTTGTTTTTAAACGCACGTTATAGAACGCATAAGACGCGCTACATGCTAGTTTTGCTGTACAGTATGCACGCCGAAAACAGTGTGAACAACTTAGTGTTTTGTTTTTGGCATTGGCAACGGCGTAGTCAAGAATTATCTTAAAGGGGTTAGAAACTGTTGATGGAATTATATAATTTTAATACATTCAATATTAAGCTTTTAATTAATATAAACCGTTTTGTAGGCGCAAAACATAAGAACTGTACCGATAAGTTGGCAGTATTAACATAATTTGATAAGAAACACTACCTTGCATGACGTCAGAAATTCCTCAAAACATTTGGCTACTAAAAGACTTGGCATTCAGGTTTCCAAACAGCTTGGTCACACTATTGCAGTTTTGCGGCACTTTTGTATGCTATCGCAGACAGGTCACATTGCCGACAGTTCACAATTTTTGTTAGCAACGATCGGTTGTGTTCGGCTTTGTGCTCGGTTGGTTATTTTGGTTGTTGAGGTAACTACCGTTAAAAAAGCAGCAGAAGCTAGAAAGAAAGAAGAAAGAAATAATCACCCAAGCCAATAACAAATTAGCTAAGCAAATGTGTGAACGCGTGTGTACTTAATGGTGGCAATTATTTTATTTAAGTTAAAGTCAAAGTTAAAGTCCAAGCGGCCATTGTTAACCTGTTGCGCGGTTGCAGTCGCACTGGCACTGGCACTCGATGGTGCGTGACCTATTTATGTAACCTGTTTTTAAAGAATATACCGATTCAACTAAAATCTCCCAAAGCTACAAGTTTCGTCTGACTCTGGATCTGGTCTGGAACTGGAAGTTGTACCTAGACGGAGCTAAATAGTGAACAAAGTGTTAATTATAGTATATACGTTAATAGCTGTTGGCATAAGAACATGGGAACAAAGATTCGTTTATTATCGAACGTTGTTTTAAAAGTCAAATGCTCTCTTCTAACTCATTAATGATGTAGAAAAAATGAGTGCATTCACCCTGCAAGCTATGTGTTACTGTGTGTGTCTGTGTAAAACTAGAAAAGTGCGCTGAAAAACTAATAAGAGTATCACAGCAAGCCAAGGGCGTAGTTATCTGTGACTTTTAAGGGTCTCAAGTGAAACTGACACCCAATTGTATGCGTGTGTGTGTATATCAACAGATGAGCAGATGAGCTGAGACGTGGCTGCATTATGGCTCAAGCTCTGACCAAATTATGGTTAGCTACGCTTCAGGTTTCGTTGGCTAGAACGGTACTAATAAGCGCATACACACAAGCACACACACATAGGTGCAAAGAGAGCAAGCGAAAGAGTTTAACAAATAACAACATAGTAAGACAACCACACACATACACACACTTGCGCACCTGTAAAAGAGAGAGCTCTGTGTAAAGAGCGGCTCACATTGCATATTCATATAAATGGGTGCCCCACACTGCGTGCTCTCTGGCTATGCCTCTCTCTTGTTTTTTTGCTTACACACATTCAATTCATAGAAAAGCAGGAAAGAAAAAAGTAGATAACTTGCTCTCAAGCCTTGAGCTTGCGCTTGAGCCGGGGCTAGAATTCTATACAACAACAACAGCACTTGTTTGGCCGGTTTGTTGCACAACGGGACATTTTGTAGCTTGCAGCGCTGAGAACCCTTTTTAATAAAAACACCTAAAACGCCACAATTAATGTGTATTTTTTTTTTTTTTTTTTTTTTTTTTTTTTTTTTTTTCGTTTTTATTTCTTTATTTTGTTGCAGCTTATTGTCTTAGACTCTATAGCGCATTTAGCTCTAAACCTTAACTAATGGGAGGGCAGATATGCCAATTATTCTGCACTTGTAGCTACTATCTTAATTAGTTCTAATATTGTCTAGAGGATGCAATCTCTTCAGTCTTCGCCTATTGTTGTTTATAGCCAGGTTGCTTGCGAGATGGTTAGGATGCGCTGCAAGTCTGTCCGCGTATCTTGAACTGTGTCGCCCAATGAGTTCAGCAACTGTGGGAATTGCTAAATCCCTATGTAAGACTGAGTTTCTTACAAACCAGCTGGCTCCAGTCCATCTGCGTAGTGCTTTATTCTGCAGGGTCTGAATTTTGTTCCTTGTAGTCTTCGCCGAGGAGCCCCATAGAGAGATACCATATACGAAGGTTGGGACAACTATTGCCTTGTAGATGGCGGCCTTGCTGCTGTAAGACAACTTGCTTGAAGCTCTCAGCATCCAGTCGAGGGTTTTTAGCTTGCTTTTGCATTTTGAGGTTACTTGACTTATGTGCGCTTTAAAAGTCAGCCTTCTGTCAAGAGTGATACCAAGGTACTTTACTTTTGAGGCTTTGGGAATAGTGGGCCCCAATGCAACGCTTGGGCAATCTCCTCTTCTAGTGGCGAAGGTAGTATGTACAGACTTTTGTGCATTAATGGTGATACACCACCGTTTTGCCCAGCGTCCGAAAGAGTCCAGATATTTTTGTAGTGAGTCTGAAGCTTCTTGCGCAGATACGTGACGTGATAAGATGGCGGTGTCATCTGCATAGGTCGCTATGAGTACTGCATCTGTACTTCCTATATTTGGCTCGGGAGTTGGCATATCTCCTGTGAATAAAGTATAAAGTGTTGGGCCTAGAACACTACCCTGTGGTACTCCAGCCATAATTGGTCTAGTCAAGGATACTGTTTGCCCCCTTGACACTTGGAAGGTTCTTCCAATAAGGTATGAGGATAGCAACGCGAAAAATGGGGCTGGAAGGGTGGTCCTCACTTTCTGCAGCAGTCCCAGGTGCCAAACTCGATCAAACGCCTGTTTGATGTCTAAAAAGACGGCAGAGCAGTACATCTTTTCTTCAAAGGCTCCAAGGATATGGTGCACAACTCTGTGAACCTGTTCCGGTGTTCCATGCTGTCTCCTGAAGCCAAACTGATGGTTTGGAATGGCCTCCTGGCGTCCCAGATGTGTCAGTACTCGTTCCAGAAATATTCTTTCGAATATTTTGGAGAGTACTGGCAACAGGCTAATTGGTCTGTACGACTCAATTTCTCCCACGGGTTTGCCAGGCTTAGGAATCATCACAATCACGGCGCGCTTCCAGCAGGCTGGAAAGTGCCGGATGCGGAGCATGGCGTTGTACACCATAGTTATGTAGTCTATGGTGGAGTCAGGCAGTGCTCTAAGGACTCTGCCGTTTATTAGATCATATCCAGGGGATTTTTTTGCCTTCACTCTTCTGATGTGTTCAAGAACCTCTTCTTTTGTACATCCAGTTATCTGGTCTTCAGCTGGGAGGGGCGAGAGAACGATGTCTTCTGTTGCTTCGATTTCTGAGGCCTCTGCGGTAATCACCGGCGTGAATTGGTCTTGAAGGTGGTTTGCAAAAGCCTCAGCTTGAGCTTCGTCTCCAATGTGCCAGGAACCAGAAATGCTCCGAATGGGATGACGTCGTATTGGCTGCCGTTTGAGCTTTCTTGTAAATTTCCATAATTGAAACTCTGCGTCAGTGGGCGATTCAGCTCGTACCAGCGCATCGCTGATACACCTCTTTTGAAGCAGGGCGAGAGCAGCTTTAAGATGCCTCGTGGCTTCGTTGTACATGGATTTGGCATCAGGCGTGCGTAATCTTAACCAGCGTCTCCTGGCCCATCTTTTGTGTATTAGTAGGTGTTGGGCCTCCAAGGTGAGGGGGATGTTGTACGGAGACTGTTGTCTTGTTTGGCAAGATGGTGGGGCGGCTTGGTGCGCAGCTTTGACTATTTCTTCCTGCAGTTTGTTTGCTGCGTAGTCCACGTCTTCAGGAGTGTTAAGTTCCATTTCTATGTGCAAAGAGTAATGGAGCTCGCGCCTAAAGACTCCTAAATCTGATCCTGCTGGCAGTAGTTGTTTCCTAATGGGCAAGGGCTGTGGCTGCGCGTGGATTGTGACTATTAGTGGCAGGTGGTCAGAGGATAGGTCCAAGGATTCTTCAATGGTCAATTGCCGGTCACAGATGCCTTTGTAGACAGCGAAGTCGATTGCCGAGGGCCTGTGTCCATTAATTGGGTAACGGGTGGGGGCTCCAGTCGCCAATATGCTGAATTGTAAGTTTTGAATCGCCTCAAATATGACTTCTCCGCGACGATTCGCACTATTGCTTCCCCAAAATGGGTGCCATCCATTCCAGTCGCCGCCGATGAGGGTCTTATTCAACCTTTGGCCTAGAACCTGTTCCATGTGATGATCACACAGACCAGTGTTTGGCGGAAGATAAATTGACGCAACTTCGATCGCTCCAATAGACGTAGGCAGGGTGATGGCTGAGACCTGCATTGTTGCGTTGCAAATTGGCAGTAAAGGTGTATGCGGTATTGTTGCTCGTATGAGGATTGAGGATCCACCAAAGCAGTTTGCTCCTTCACCATGAGCCTGATAGTGTTCGTATCCGAAAATTTGTGTAGTGGGGCACTCATGAGTTTCTGTTATTAACATTATATCTATGTTTTCTTGTGAGAGAAACGCAGCCAGTTCCTGAGTCTTGTTTCTCAGGCCATTGGCGTTCCAGATACCCACACGTAAAGCCATTATTTGTAGGCAAGCTTGGTTATGATGGCCATTAAACTGTTTAGCATGGTTGCTTGTTGGGATTGTACTTCTCGCATCGCTTTGAGCTCGGCATTAATTGCGTCAAACTGACG